CACACCACACCACACACACACACACACACACACACACACACACACACATTTACTGCCTTGGAGTTGATGTCAACTCATGGCCACCCTGTAGGATAGGGTAGAACTGCCGCCATGGGTTTCTGAGATTGTAACTCTTCTGGGGGTGTAGAAAGCCCCATCTTTCTCCCACAGTGTCTGCTGGTGGTTTTGAACTGCTGCTGACTTTGCAGATCTCAGCCCAATGCGTAACCACTACACTGCAGTGCTCCTGTGGCCTTTGGTATTGGATGCAAATGTGTGGAAGAGTTGCTTTCACATTCAACTTCCTGGCTAGCTAGCAAGCCTCTCCAGACAGGGGCATACCTGCTTGTTCTCTGCTCTTTTCCCAGGTCCTAGCACAGTGCCTTGTACAGGTGAGCAGTCAGTAACTTATTAAAAGGATGAATTAGTGCCTTAAGTCATGACATTCTTGTGGGCCTTTTCCCGTTGGCAGGCTGCAGTGGCTCTATTGTACGGTAAGACGTGGGAAGCTATTCCTGCTCTTCCCCTGCAGACCTGCCAGCTGCAATTACACGTGCCTCCTGTGTAGGATAAAGCTCATGCACACAGGGTTTCAAACTTTGGTTCTTTTCCACCTCAGCTATACCTACCTCCATTGAGTTGTCCCAACTCATAACACCCCTATAGGACAGGGCAGAGCTGCTCCTTAAGGTTTCTGAGCCTGCAAATCTTTATGGGGATGCAGTTTTATCCTTCATGAGAGCCCACTGGTGCATTTGAAATGCTGAACTTGTGGTTAGCATCCCAGGACTTAGTCCTCTGCACCACCAGGGCTTCAACTAAACGGGGCAAAAACACCCAAAACACCCGGTGGCCTGGATAAATATCCTCGGTGGGCTGCATGTGGCCAGCGGGCCGTGGTTTGAGGACCCCTGCTTTAAGGGGATTTGGACATTGGTTTAGGATTTCCTGGGACACTGATCCAAAAACTCAAACTCACTGCCATCGAATTGATTTTGACTCATAACGACCCTACAGGACAGAGTAGAACGCCCCTGTGAGTTCCTGAGACTGTAACTCTTTCAGGGAGTGGAAAAGTCCATTTTAGAGGAGCAGCTGGTGGGTGTGGTCTTGAACTGCTGACCTTGTAGTTAGCAGCCTGACTTGTAACTATTCACCAGAGATATTGATAAGTTGCCCTTCATAATGGTAAAGCAACACAGCCTCTTAGGCATTCACTTATATCTGTTATACACTTATTTCCCAATTTTTGATTCTAAAAAATAATTGGCCCAGAACAATCACATTTTAGTTTTTGTTCAAGTAAGAATTGCAAAACCATTTCTTTTAAACTCTAAATTTTATTTCCTCTTAAGTTTAGCTACACAGAAGAAATTCATTTTAATGTGGATTCTGTTTGAAATGATAGCACCACATTTTTTCTTACATTGGTGCTGTCTGGGACTGCACATGCTAGTCCCCTGATGGTCTGGCTCTGGCTCTGATTGCAGCTGGGCTGGCATAGGGCATCGCTTTTCTTCTTTCTGAGGGTGAACACTCGGTAGATGGTGGAAAGGGAACAAAAGAAAACAATCTTTTCTTACTCTGCTAAAATGTGTGTCTTACATGGCTTCTCAATGAATGATCTTTGATTTGGAAGGGAAAGGGTTGAGGCTCAGGATCAAAAGAGGACTTATCTCAGGACTTCTTAACCATTTATTTGCTCTCTGTTTTGAGGTGCTGGAAGCTTTATATCGTCTGCAGTGGACCTCAGCAGATGGGTTGGGAGTTCTGATAATATCTCCTACAAGAGAACTGGCCTATCAGACCTTTGAGGTCCTCCGGAAAGTAGGAAAGAATCATGATTTCTCAGCTGGTCTCATCATCGGTGGAAAGGTTGGTTTGTCCTCTCCCTCTACTGCAGCGGTTCTCAACCTGTACATTGCGACCCCTTTGAACGACACATTCGTAGGTTCACAACAGTAGCAAAATTACAATTATGAAGTAGCAGTGCAAATAATGTTATGGTTCGGGGGTGGGGGAGTGGGGTGGGGTGTCACCACCACATGAGGAACTGTATTAAAGGGTCACGGCATTAGAAGGTTGAGAACCACTGCTCGACAGTCTATGTTGGAACATTGTGGCAATTGATAAGGAAGATATAGAGGGTCAGTTTTGCAGACCCAGAACATCCATTTTGTCCGTGTCTGGAACTGATTAGGCTCTTTAAAGCAAGATCTGCTCTAGCCAATCTATTTGTTAACATACTATGGGAACGAGGCCATTTCAGTTTGTGGACTAGTTCTTTACAGTAAGGTGTCTTAAGAGGTTGTATAATTCAGGGCATTGCTTGACCAATAGCGAAGAAAGAAGTTATAGGTTAGTTTGAGAAACGCTTAATTTAAGCCATGGTTAAAACTGCTGCTCAGTGTTTGCTCAGCCTTCTAGTACATTTGGAGTGCTTGCATGAGCTCAAATGTGTCCTAGTCAGTGAGAATAAACTCTTGCCTTCTTGAGAAAGCAAATGAAAAAGAATAGCACACGCCTTCACGTATTCATGTGCTTGTCACCTAGCTGATCAGTGAGCAGCATAATGAGGTCTTGCTTTAAAGGGGGAACTTCTAATATGTGGAGCACGTGGTTACCTTTTCAACCCCAAAAGGCGCAGTGATGGTGTTGGGGGGCCCTGCTTCAATGCTCCTGATTTATTAAAAAGTGGAAGTAATTCCAGTTTCTTAGTCAGTTCTGGCATACTTAATGGGAACTTAAGATCATTTATTGAATATCCACAATCCTGGGCATGATACTGTGAAGGAACTCTGAGTTCCTTTAGTCTTCAGTAAGGTCTTTATATGGCCCATACGTTTAGATGTGCTACAGAAATAAGTAGAAGGGAGATTGGGTTTATTGCTCTGACAAACCACAAACTTGCTGCCATTGAGTCGATGCTGATTTACGAAGACCCTATAGTATGGGCAGGGCTGCCTTTGGGGGTTTTTGATGCGAAATATTTATAGGAGCAGAAAGTCATCTTTTTCCTGTGTAGTTTTGAACTCTGGACCTTGCTTTTAAAGGCTCAAATTCTAACATACACCACCTCCAGTGCTCCTTGAGTTTATTACTAGAATATCTAAACTCTAATGAAAAACAAAGCAAAACCCTATAATGAAATGTCACATACTTTAAAAAAACTAATCTTGGTGCATAGGGTTTTCTGAGTGAGAAAGTCTAGGAGTCAGTCTGCTGAATGTAAAACAACTGTTTTCAGGATCTGAAACATGAAGCGGAGAGGATCAATAACATCAATATTCTAGTTTGCACACCCGGCCGGCTTCTTCAACACATGGATGAAACAGTATGTTTTCATGCTACCAGTCTCCAGATGTTAGGTGAGTCTAACCAATTTCTAATGGAAAACTTCAGACTTAGGAGAGAGCCTTTGTAAGTTTTTTTTCCTTTTTTTTTTTTGGGGGCGGGGGCACATATAACTCTTATCACAATCCATGCATCCATCCACTGTCAAGCACGTGCCTGTGTATTTTTAATGAAGGTAATGTTTTATTGGATAAATGTTATGGTTGAGTAACTTGTACCGTATACTTATACTCAAGTATAAGCTGGCCCGAATTTCAGCCGAGGCACCTAATTTTACCACATAAACTGCATTAAACATGTGCTGAACTCTAGCCTGTGTGATCATGAG